ACTTGACAGGCTTTGTGGCCTCAGCAGGGGCTGCCCTCCCTGCTGTTTTCATTAAAACCAGACAAAGTTATAGGCAGTTTCATTCTTCCCCATTATAACCTATGAGGAAAATGTCAAAACAGCATCGAAACAGTTTTGACAAAACGAAATGCAACAGTACTTTGAAACTCAAAACGAGACACTGTCCTGCAGAAACTGCAAAACGGAAGTTGAAACAAAATGGTGCTGTTTTGCACAGCCCTAACTAAATCTCTTCTCTCTTCCCAGCTACATATTCCAGGTTATCTATATTGCCATTCTGTCAGGAACATTTAAGCTGACAATTGCTGCTATGTGCCATTCCTAGCAAGTGCAAATTAAAAGGCTATATAAGTGTTTTAGGGAAATGTCCGACTTCTTCGCTGTTCACAGTAAACAGCACTCTGATCATATACCACCTCCTTATTTTATGACTGATTTGAAAAGTAATTATCTAGCTGCCTTTGGTAGCTTCAGTATCAGTCTCTGCTATATTCAGTTGTGGAATAACAGCAGCAAAACTATAAGTGCACCATAGACTTGGGGCATAAAAGTCATAGCTTTAAGCTCTTAGTAAGTGACTTTTTGATGGATAAAGAAGTCAGCTTCCTGTAATCCTCACAAGTGATAAAAGTGGGTCTCTTCCTCCCCCTTGATGCTTACACACACTTCCTGAAGCTTAATCTCTTCTTGCTCTTTAAAATGACCATTTGTAGAGCAAGTGGGCTTCAGCCCAACAAATATGGTAACAAAGAGATGACCTTTCTGCCTTTGGAAGCTGTTCCTCTTATTCTCGGAAACAAGAGAACAAGTCAAACAATGCAGACTCCAAGTGGAAATCTAACACCATCCTACAGCCATCTCCACAAACTATACAATACAGCAGCTCTTACAAGCCCAGTGAGATTTGATACTGTTCTTCCAAGCCTACCAGGTCAAACCATTTATCGACATGGGAAACTATTCAAATCTTGCCACCCTACAGTAGATTAATTGGTATGTGCAGTCAAACACCCCTTCTGGAGATGTGCTTTTTTTTATCCACATCTATATAGGGTGTGTCTAAGCAGGTTTCAGGTTTTTTTTTAATCAACTTTATCCCTGTCCAGTTCTAGCTCTTGCTGTGCAGTCCAACATGTAACACAGGCCTACTCTGAGGCATGGACAGCATCTGTAGACAACACAGAATTCAGGTCCAATTAATGTTTTAAGAAAATTGAACTCCCAGTCAGTAAGGAACAAGGCATGAAAAGGGAGTAACTGGGAATGTGAGCAAACTCAGCTTGTGGTTTCCATGGATATCTAGGGCTACAGACAGATGCAACTTTTAACCAGTTTTAAAAGGGAGGAGAATTTGCTAGCTGTGAGCACACATCAGCTGTTACTGCTACATGTTCTTATGCACTGATTTTGCTACACACCTATTGCTAATTTTAACTCTGAATCCTGATAAATCTATCTATACCCTGATACAGTTTGGAGAGGCAATTGAGATTTCCTTGAGCTACAACTGTGGATAGGACAGGACATTAATATGTCCATCAAATGCATATTATAGATGTTAAGATCTTAAAATCCATATTAAGGGAGTACAAATATATCAACAGCCTTGAAAGCATTTAGTAAAAAATGAATAATTCACCTGTTTTGCTTGCTACTCTGTTCTTGCAGGCTGTATCATCTCATACAATCACAGCCATCTACTCTGGTCACCCCTTGGATAGGTTTCAACAGCTGAAAAACATTTTTCCTCTGCGGTGTGTGTTGAATGTAACTGCATAACTCCATCCCCTATTCGCTGTCTGGCTTGAGACTGTGAAATGGTCTATACAAAATTTGAAATCAGTATCATTTCACCATTATCACTATTTAATCCCTTAACTGAAGATGAAAGTAGCTCTGGAGCTATTAGTTACCTACCATTTTATACTGTCCATGTTGTATGCATCCCAAACTTCCAACCCTTTCTCAGACATTGTAAAAAGAAAAAAAAAAAGGATGACTTTCTGAAATGGTATCTTCTCTTTAAAACAGGCTGCTCCTAACCATTTCCTGGAAAAGATGATGTTTGGTTGCATTAGTATACACAGCTGATCAGAGGAGATAATGTGACTGACTGATTCATCTCTTTGTTTTGCAGGCGAGACTCTGCCTCTTCCAGGCAGCACGTTTGGTTTTAGCTAATGGAATGAAACTCCTTGGAATCACACCTGTATTAAAGATGTAATAAAAAGGGCCCCTGCAATGTAAATGAAAATTTTCTAGTAATTTTTTTTATAGAAGCAAAACTGTTGTAACAATCATTTGTACCCAATATCTGCACTTTCACCTGTGCATTAATATAGTATTTGCAGCATCTTATGGATAGGACCCTGTTGTCTGCACCACTCACTTGCTCTCTCCCATTAATCATTTTAGTGTTTGAAGTAACCAAGGCTGGTTGATTTGCTTGAGTATAAATTGCTGGTCAGGTATAAATGAAAACAAAGCAACTGAGGTATGTATTTTGTAAGCAAGAGTGCAAGACCATATCTTTGGTAGTGCTAAAGAAGAATTTTTTCCCCTGTGATCTACTGTTTTAAAATTAAAATTTTCTCCATGTAAGAGTTTTCAGTTGCAAATGCATCTCCTTTTCATCATAAGAGCCCCATCATCTTTCTGCCTGTTGTAACCAGTAATTTCCTAGTTGATAATCTATCAAGTTGCATACTGTCTAAGGAATAGCTACGTTATCAGGCAACAGCTGAGAGGCTTTTGATTTGTTTCAATCAGGTTGCCTCACACTAGCGCTGACTCAAATCCTTATGGATATTCAGAAGTGAAGCATCTCACTGAACATTTCCCTTTCACTTACTCTTAACTCATGTTTATAGTCTACAAAAGTAGGTTTAACTTTTGTAATCTAAGTTTGTCTAAACATACTCAAATCTTTCCATGTTCCAAGCCTTTTTGCACTTTGTAGTGATTAAGCTCATCTAAACTTAGTACAATAGCGATGTGTCATAATGATGTGATTCCATTTAAGCAAACTAATGTTGATTATTTTGTTTCTTCTGGATTTCACATTGTTCTTTTTGTCTCCCACTTTCAACTATATGGCTGAGACCAAGTAACCTTTTTACCACCTATTTATCTTTTATATTGAAACTAGTCCTGGGGATAATGAAACAAAAGCAGCAGTTACCACATCACAATTTATTAATGGTACTTATTGAGCACCATGTGCAATGTCATTCTTATGGCACGTAAGAGCCATGAAGATAGTAGATGGAAGGAGAGTACCCAAATCATTGTCCATTGCTATTGTGAATGACTGCAAGTAACAAAAAACCTTGTTTGTCAGACCAGGAAAATAAGCCACTGTGTCCCTGTAGTCTAGTTCTACAGGCAGCCACCACCCCTGCCAAACTCAATCTTAATGCTCTGTTTAAAATGAACTAAGGGATCTAAATTTATGATGAAGGGAGGAATAAAGGAAACAACATTCTTATTTTATGAATCAGAGCCTGATTGATTTTTTTTTTTTTTCCCCACTGAATCAAATGAGTATTGTGAAAAGTAAATCAGATAAGCACCCAGGAATTTAGAAAGGGGAAACAAACTAATATTTACTTTCTTCTTACAAGGAAGTAGTACACCTGATATCCAGTGCACTGAAGTATAGCACTGGCAAGGTGTTTTAAATGATGACCTTTTCCACCATGTAAACAGTATCCAGATCTTTCTTCTTGCTATCAGCGCTCTTAATATGCCCCACTTCAGGTAAATGAATGTCAACTCATAGAGATGCATAAACAGCAGTTGGTTTGCCCATTCTTGCCTCATGGAAAAACTGAATAGTCCCCTTCATCTTGTTTCCTCTGGCAAAAACAAGGCAAAATAGGAAAAAAAAGAAGGAAGGAGTCTGAAGCAAGGAAGAAATTAATCTTCTCCTAAGCTACTATTTCTTTCTTTTCAGCAATCATAAGTCCTAGGGCAGCTTTTGATATTCAGCTATTAACCCCATCTCCCTCTCACGCAGCAGAGAACTCCCACTCTTGGAAGCCTCTGTCAAGCAGAGAAAATTCCCACAGGCAGCAGTAGTGGAGAATGGGGTATGTCTGCCACAACCCATATTCTTGCACCCTGTCATTTCAGGGCTTTAGAGAGCCTGAATAGAGTCAACCACTATCCTCTGGCTCGATTCTTTGTTCTGCCTGTTACCAGTGGCATTATGAACAGAAAAGCCTCCTAAGCTCTCTGGAGTAGTGTAAGGATACACCCAGGTACATTCAGTACTGCTGTTTCCATTTTGTTTGTGTAAGTCTTTCTTCATCTTTTAAAATACAGGAGAAAAATAACTGCAAACGTGCTTTGGAGGGGTAAGTCCTCTTGTAACTCACTCCAGAAATGCACAAATGGCTTATTCTAACAAGCACAAGGGCATCCACTACTGTCAGTGTGGGAAAGTTTACACAACTGTACAAGCACTATGTGTTTTAAAACAAGTCTTGATTTTGGCAGCAACTCCTGCTTTAAAATAAACATTCAAATGTTCAAACTCAAACATTCACATTCGTCTTTTGAATTTAATTCATTACAAAATTCAACCTAAAAAGATGCACCAAAACCAATTTTCTATAAATAAAATTGTACAAAAGTGCATTGTGTCCATTGAGGGGGGTTGAATTTATCTAGGTATCCTAGAGTCCCAGGTTAACAAAAGTAGGGTTCTAACATAAGGCATTTGTTCAAACTACAAAAAAGTTTCACTCACTAAAGCAAACATTAGAAACATTCTTTGAAATTTTAAATGCAGCAATTGCCTCTGTGCAGTGGCATGTAGTGCTATTTGGAAGAAAGATAAAATTTGTCCATCTGATGCGTACAAACCATGTGTGCTGACTTAATTTGGAGATATGCAGAGAACACTTACACAGGTATTCAATGGCTTCCCCCACTAAATGAAATCTGGCTTCATAAAATATACCTAACAAGTGGAACACTTTACAACAGTTTTGTCAGGGCATACTATGTTCATATTGCAACTATGCTTTTCAAGACATAGCGGAAAACAAATGGTCTTCTTAATGTGAATTTTGACTCTTGTAATATGTAAAGTTTGCCAAAATGGACTAAAGTAATGCCCAAAGCATGTTCAGTGTAGATGAAGTATGATATTTTTTTTTTCTCTTTACAGTCCACTCTTGGTATCTTTTTTAAAGTTACCAGTAGAAATAAGCAACCAGTTGGTATTCAAGAAGATATGCAGGTTGGTTTAGGAAAATTTCTCTTTCCCTAGGAAAATCAGACCAACATTTTCAGAAATCCACTGCCAAAATAGTATAAGAAGGAGCTTTGGCAACAAAATACTCTTCTGAAGCTTCTGGGCATTTCTGCCCACGAATGACATGATACATACGGTATCAAATATACAAGAAACCAGTCTTTTTTCCTCTTTCTGTACAATGGTTGGTTCCTTCATTCTCCTTTGCAGATACATAGGCTCTTCATAGTCCAATATGAAATAAAATATTTTACATGTAATACTCCTTCACCAGCTTGGAATCTCTCATCCCGTGGAAACCCTTCATTTAATTCCAATGTACTTCTGTTTTTATTTTAAGTCAAGTCTTCCCACGACTAACTTAAGGCTAAGTTTAAAAAATCCAGTTATTTCAAGTCTGTTGTTTCCATTGTCTGTTGCTTTTTGTTAGGACAAACATCACACATTCATAAGTCTCTCTTTCAAACTTTTTGGCTCCGATGGCTGGATTTTTGTGGTATCTTGTCGTGGTAAGCCATACAGGTATATAGAAATGCACACAAGGACAGCACCAAGTGCAAAGGTTATAGCTGGAAAAAAACAAAACAGTTTAAATACACATGTCTCGGGAAGAGGAAGGGACGGGAAGACTACTTTTACAAGAGATTTAGTTTTTACAGAGCTAAATTCTACTATTTAAATAATCATCCTTATCAAGGAGAATAGCCTACTTGTGCCTTTGAACTGTTATCATGTTAATCTGTAGAATTCAGTATCATGCTTTGACATGGAAAATGTTGCTCACTTAACAGGAAGCCTTGTGAGGCCAAACAGTAAATTCATGAATGAGAATATAATCAGAAAAGCAAAACGATGTCCCACACTGCTATATTTATTCTGCCTTATCTAAGTGGGCTGAGGCAGACAAGTTTAAGCAAACTCATGATTTGCCCCTCATGCATGTGCAATGTTGCCAGTTTGCTTTTCCAAACCTACAATGTAAGTTCTTACTAAGAATGAGGTTCTTATAGCAGTTAATAGCCCTAAAGACCTGTAGATCAGCCAGTCCATGTCTGTTCCCTCTACTGTCTAGTGTCTCAGTCAGTCATTCTGGTTTTAAAAGTAAAGTTGCATTCATCCATAGCTCCCTCCCCAAGCCACTTAGAAAGACTTTTTCTGTAAAGTTTACTTCCACATGTCATCTCATTAATACCCTGCCACACATCATTAAGCAAATTTCGACACCATTCTCCTGTTCCCATTTTTGCTTTCTGACTCTTTCTACCATTGAAGGAGTAACACGAGACACAGGATTACATCTATGTTGGAAGATCAAGCAAGAGAAGCTGGTCTATGAAATAGTGTCAGGCTCCTGCTGAACCATGAGTATATAAAACAGCAAATAAAGTGAAAAAGTCCAAGAAAATCCTTCTTTAAGGCCATCAGATCCTTCCCTCAGGATGCTTGTTGTATAAGTCAGGAGCCCAACATCTGCTGAGCCATTCAACCATGTGGTAGCAACAACACAATAAAAAAAAGAGGGAAACTGGTATTATTACACACACTGCAATGATTACCATGTACAGGGCACCTTCCTTTCAGAAATAACTGAAAACAATTAAACAGTTAGGACTAGTTCAGCATTAATGAACAACACTTAAAAGTACTGTAGCAACCTCAGAAGTTGGTTCAGAAATTGGCGTGGAGGAGAGATTAAAACCTTTCCCCTTAAAATTGCAGGCTCCAGTACACTTTTTTGATAAACAGCTCTTTGTGAGGAAATAGGAGGAATTTACATCTAAACTTCATCCTCCCTTAGAACAAAGTGATCCAGCACTTCAGAAACTCATAACACTGAAGCATCTAAGACAGATTATGGGCAGAGTACTGTTTACTGTTTCATTCTTGAAAATGACACACCCAAGTAGGGATGGGGAAACAAACCCTCAAAAGCACATAAATTATGTGTATTGTAACCAGCCTAGCCAAGAAGACTGAATTTGTATTAGGAGTTTGCTTTGAAGAACCAAAAAAGCAACTTACTTATCTGTAAGCCAAAGAGCATCACTGATGCAACAGTAGAAAGGACAATGGCAGCTGCTGCAGAAAAGCCTTTCATGATGTTGTCTGTGTATTTAACAACAACAGAAGTGTAGAGGCCTCCAACACTGGCAAGAACTGAGAAACAAGCAGGATGTCATTTCTAGTCTGAACAGGAAAAGATGCGTGTTTTATTTACACTACTATCTGACTCTTGATAATGCACTACTTAAAACCACACACTGAAACCAACAGTCTCAATGGCATCTAACAGATTAGATGCAACCAAAATGTTGGTTGCTCAGTAGTTCAGGTTGTACTGAAAAAGCAGTTGCAGAGGGACTTATTTCCTTAGAAAAGCAAGGGAATGCTCTGAGCCTGTGAGTTTTATGCAGATAGGCTATATATTAAAAGTAAAACTAGCTATATCCAATAAGGCTGTACAGCAAACAGGATGGCAAATACTTACAAATGACAAACCAGACGTAATATGTATAGCCATAGAAAAATCCTCTCTCAAGAACTTGAGTTCCTTCTGATATGTAGACACCACCTAAAGTCACCACAATCCCAGACAAGTACATCTGGATATTCCTCACCCACAAGGAAGTATCTGAACTCTTTAATACCTTCTCAAAATAGACTCCTGAAGGGAGAGAGACAGACAGATTTCATAAAGAATGCAGATGTCATTCTAAGACTCAGGGATTCATACAGGTTAATTTAAAAAGACATGAAGATCATCTGATTTGACCTCCAATGTAACACAACTCATTATACTTCATTGAGTTAGCTCTGTATTGAGCCCAATTATCTGTTTTATTGAAATTGATCTTCTGGAAAATGACTGTTCTTAATTTGAATCAAGAGCTGAACTACCTACTGCTTCCCTTGATGGTTTAATCCACTAATTTTTCAACTTGTGATCTGTGGACCCTGGGGGTTTGTAGACTGTCTAAGGGCTCTGTGAAAAAATGACTATGAAAGATGACTGCACCTCTATTTGAAATTTTTTAGGGGTCCACAGATGAAAAAAGGCTGAAAACCACTGGTTTAATGGTTTGGACTTGTATTCTTTGGTTATATACTTGGCGACATTAATCCATTTTGTATGAATGGATCTTATTTACAGCAATCCCTATAGCTCCCCACGACTTTTTCCTCATTATTTAAGATCATGACAGTCTGTTATCTGCATGTTATCAAAAGTGATTTTATTTTTACTTCTAGATAGTAGATGGAGAGTGTTAAAACCTCATGCATAGTACAGATTCCTGTAGAACTCACTGGAAATACTAACATTGGATAATGAATCTGTATTAACAACTACCCAGAGATAAGTCCATGAGCCAGTTCTTTATTTCTTTAAATGTGTACTTTGCATAATGCTAATTTTTCTATCAGAAAGCCTAGTACAATTTGGCATACACATGCTCCAGGAGGTGGAGGGGTACTTCAATTAAGTGGCTCTAAGTACCCAGAGCGTCACATGTATCAGTGTCCCCATGCTGAAAAATGGCAGTGGGGGTGCTTTAACTAAAGCCCATTGAACAAGCTGTAGTTAAAATGCCCCCCTGCCATTTTTTAGTACACACAACGCTGGAATCTGCTGGAGCGTGGTAATTACTACTGGAACACTGCCAGCCACCCATGGTTTCCCACATTTTCCTCCTTTAAAGGAAAATCTACTGTTTTCCATGAACCTGCTGACAGCAGTGGTGGCAGGCTCAGCCCAGGCCCAGCTGACCTCAGAGATCACAACAGTATCAGATCCACACCCCCCCACCCCGAAACCTGCTTGCAGCCCCCCAGGGGGCCATGGAGCCCTGATTGAGAACCCCTGATTTACACAGCATCTTGAATGGCAACTAACTCAAATGAATACCTTATCCAGACAAATCAAGGTTATCTCGGTCCTTCACAAGTACTTAATGTGGAACAATGGGCTTGTACTGTCTGTAGGATGGATCTTGGAATAAAAGGTTTTGTCCAAGGGAAAAAAAATCTTACCACCGTCCACTGTTTTTACCCTAAGTACTAGATTAAGCAGGATTGTGTTTCCAGTCTGGCTAAAAACAGTTTTATCCCAAGTCTAACTGTCCTAGGCTTGGACTCCCATCAAAGCAGGCCCAGTGTTTGTATGGCCCACAGCCCAAGGAAGTCCTGGGTCTATGGCTAGGTCCTCTGAGGCATCATGATGATAACTGTGAAGATTTGTATTTTCTTTATAAACCACATCTGTAATCTCATCAAAAGAATGCCATCAGATTTGTTCAACAAGACCAGCATTCCAAAATGTCATGCTGACAAGTACTGATTATATTTCTTTATTAACTGAAACACACATTAGTCTTTTCATAATTTTGTTCAGGACTGATGTCAGGTTAACTGGCCTCCAACTATTCAATCATGCCACGTGCTGTTTTTAATATTGTCACAACATTTGTGTTCCTTAGTTTTTCTCAAATTTCCTCTGAATTTCAAGCTTTAATAAAAGTTATCAGTGGGCTAGTGATCTCAGTCTATTCTAAGAGTTTTGGGTGTTAGCCAGCTCCACCAGTTTAAAATGGTTTATCTCTAGAAGGATATTTGTTAACATCTCTTTAATTACTAATAAATTCACCATCTTCATCTAAGAATACATCCTCTTGTTTGTTTCCAACTACAGAGCAAATATTTAACATTCTTGTTTTCTCTGCATCATTTACATTTTTATGCTTCCATAATAAGCCAGTTCAAGATCTTGGTTCCTAGTGTACTAAAATGGCAAAGTAACAAGTTCTTATCAACTACTGATAGATTTCCCTGTTTTTATCTTCCCTTATCAGTTTTCTACACTTGGTAACTTGTAATTTATATTGCTTGCTAGTTCCAGTTTTCCATGTTTTCAGATACCGCTTTAGATACTGCTTTTCTTTCCTATGTGTTACTTTACTTTTGCCACTGAAAAAGGGTACAATGGAAAGAGCACGTACTCATACAGCAGAGATCATGCCACACAGCACCAGTTCTTTCCTGAACAGAGCTACAATTGCTTAGCTTCTCTGAAGATCAGCCCCCTCCCCACAATATGAGTTTAACTTGTGAAGGATATAATGAATATTTGGACCACAACAAACAGTAGGATACATACAAAACAGGTTTATACCTGCATGTGTTGAAATGCAAAATGTTAAAACAGGGAAATTATTGTGCAGATATATTCTAAAGTCTAAACAAAAATAATCTTGTTATTGATATAGTGATTACGAAATGCATTATGGTCTCAGGTCTGTTTAATTTTTTGTTTAAAAAGTTTTAAGAAGTTTTTTTTTAAATCTACTGATGCGGAGTTCTTGCTGTTAGTTAAAAAATGAATCGTCTCACACACTGATTTACTTTACATCAACTACCCAATAATTTGCTTCAAAATCAACAGAACTGATCAATACTACAAACTCAGAATACCACAAATGTAAAAGGTTTCTTTTCAGACTAGTAATATGCCAGATCTTCAACATGTACAAAACATTCACATGCATTTAAAAAACAAAATGGGAGTAGCGTCCAGGAGATTATGTTTCGTGCATAGTAATATTAAGGAACTCTATCAATTTATACTTGGCAAATTCATTATTTTTAAGAGTTGACAGCTCCTCAACTCTTTTTAAACCATCACAATGGCAGTAGCTTCAAGTAGTCTTTTTTCCAACTTTGAGTGAAAAGGGATTCCAACTCTCTCTCAGATACGAGTTTTCCTAAACTAATGCAACACTCTGGACCAGAAACTGAAGCTAATAGAAAATACAGCAGCTTGCTTTTATGATGATTTTAAATAGCAGTATGTAACAGGAGTGTACTGAAACCTAGGCTGACTTCATAGTAATTCTGTGTAGAACTAAATCTGAACCTTTAAAACCCCAAATGACTGGAGATCTTCATACTGGTGATACTGGCTCTCTTTTCTTATGCTTTATTGCCATAGTTTTAGTTGGAGAAGAACTTCAGCTGGAGCTCTTTTATTCTAAGAAAAGAAACTTCTGAAGCATCACGCAGAAGTGCCTGGTCCTGAGGAGCAGGAAATTTGTTGGCCTTCAGGCCCATATATTTCCTCAGGTTGTTGGAGGTGGAATAGCAAGGGCCGAGGTGTGTTATTTCACTTGACAGTTGGGAGTCAAGTGACTGGGGTTCAGAAGCAGCTACTAGAATTATTTGTACTAATTATTTTTTTTAGCCTAGGAAAGGCTAGAGTTCAAGAGAGCCTTATTTACAAAACAATGCTAGAAAATGTTATCTGTAACTAGCAGTGAGCATACCTACTAATGCGCAAGTCTCACAAGACGCGTCATATTTACGTACCAAACTAGAGGTGGTTGGTAACAACGCACTTAAGAGAGACAGTGAAGAATCTGCATTCAATTACTCTAGCACAGGGGTAGGCAACATTTTTGGCCAGTGCCAAAAAAGCCACAACGCCTACCTTATGAGGTGCCAGAGTGCCGGCATGCCAGAAAAACAAAACCAGGGCAGGGGGTGCATGGCAGGATGTGCTGCATATTAATATAGTTAATAATCATAAAAGTTGCCCTTTTATTTTTATTTTTTACTGTAAATACCAGGTTTTCTAAAAATTCTAAACCTGGTGACAGTAAATATACTACCTTTGTTGTTGTGTATTCCTTTTTTGTTAAGCATATTGTGGTGAGAAAAAAAAAAGGAAAAAGAGAAAAAAGAGGACAGAGAGAGAGAGAAAGGAGAGGAGAGAGAACCAGACACATACACATGCATGCAGAGAACCAGACGTGCGCACACAGAACCACAGGTGCAGAAACACAGAGAACCAGACACGCACACAGAACAGACACATGCACACAGAACCGGACCGAGGCAGACAAACGCGCAGAACCAGATGCACATGCGCACAGAGGTGGGCTGCTGGGCCACTGGACAAAGTCCGACCCAACAGTGCCCTGAGCCTGCCGCAGCCCCTGTGCTTCTCTGGGGAGCCAGCTCCCAGCTGCAACACAACCCACCAAGGCCCCGGCCCAGAGCCTGCCCATCAGCCAGCTGCAGGGGCAGCATTAGGTGAGGCTTTGAGGAGGCAATAGCCACTCCAAAATTCACCCTAGTCCTCCTGTAGCCACCCCTCCCAGCACCACCACCACCCACTCACCCGCACAGCTAAGCCCACAAAGGTGTGGCACTCCTGGCAGGGGCAGCACCAGCCTCATCCCAGTTGCGGGGCTGGGCTCAGAGCAGGTGGGAGTTAGGCAGGCTCAGCTATGCGGGGTGGGCGGGCGGCAGTGGCAGCACTGGGAGGAGTGGAACCTCCTGGCCCAGCCCCACCACTGGGAGGCAGCTAGCACCTTGCTTGCTCTGGAGCCCTGGCATCAGCTCCATACTGGCAAGTGCACACATGCCTCAGAGTGAATGGGGGAAGGAACCTGAGGCAGCACAAACCTGGCCTCTCCCCCGCTGTCTGCTCTGAGGTGCACGTGCAGTAGCTGTCAACATGGAGCTGATGACGGGGCTCCAGAGCCTGGCCCAGCTGTTTGTAGCCAGCCTGGGCTCTGGACAGCTGCAGCAGGCAGTGGGAAGGCTGCAAACAGCTGCACCAGGCTCCAGAGCCCTGGCATCAGCACCATGCTGGTGGTGACTGCACGCACACATCAGAGTGGACAGTGGGGGAGGGTTCCGCTGCTTCAGGTCCTATCCCCACCATCCACTCTGAGGCACATGTACACCTGCCGGCAATATGGAGCTGATGCTGGGGCTCTGGAGCCCGGAGGAGCTGTTTGCAGCCTCCTGGCTGCAGCCTGCCAGGCTCTGGATAGCTGCTGCCAGCCACAGAGCCCAGACTGCTCCCAGCTCCATGGCTGGTAGCAGCTGCCCAGAGCCTAGGCTGGCAGTGGCGTGCTGAACAAAATGGCCTCGTGTGCAATGCTCAGCAGGCACATGAGGCCCTGCTCTAGTGTATCTACAACTTAAAGCCAGAAGTCTGCCATTTAAAGCAAGAAAAATACTTGCTCCTCCACAGCCCTGTTAACAAATTTACATTATGCAATCCAAAAAAATTGTACTTTTCCTCTGGCAGTTCACCTGTTACAGTTCTTTGGTTCTTGCATTGTGAAAGGACAGAAAAAAGCAAGAACTGCTCCTTGAAGAGGAAATTCCATGTTTTAAAGAAAGTCTTTTATCATTCTGCTGCCTATCTTACCATTTCAATTACATATAAACCCCTCTCACTTTGAACACCTCTCATGGAAGCAAGAAAGGGCTCATTCCAGATGCTCAGCCAGCATAAAAATGTATGAAGGAGCTTGACTGCCCACTGGAAAGATTGGAAGCCTTTTACATGCATACCACAGTAACCTCCAAAAGGCAATAGCATGAAAAAACTGTACCATACAAGTTTCGCTTAGACTATCTAAGTTTCGTTTAGACTGACTGAAGGCATTTGAAGGGTGGTGGGTTACTATTTCTTTTCCAAGACAGTTTTGAAATCAACATAGATTTTTTTTAAATATTACGCTTCGCTGTCTAAGTAATTACGGTGCCAGAAGTCTAATGTTACAACCATTGCACACAGAAAGTAATTATGGGCCATGAGTGGTAAGTCTTCACCTAATTTTATCTCATTGATCAACAAGTATGATTAAATCACACAAGACAGGAGTTGTTTTAGTTTTTACCATTATAAAAGGTTCTCCTCTTTTGAAATGAGCTGTCTGGTAAAATAATGCTTTACCTGCAAATCCTGAACACAATACAGCAATAGTTACAGCTCCAAACCCTAACCACGGATTCTGTTCCACCTACAACATGAATCATAAAAACAGATAATAGGTTAGCTATGTTACTACATTAATTACTTAGCATAATTATTTCAGAAACTAATTGGTTAATAACAGCAGGTATATTAGGATGTATTGTAACGTATTTATTTTTCCACGTACTTTTGACTACCTCCACGTACTTTTAATTACTAATAAATTAAAAGTACGTGGAGGTAGTCAAAGCTGCCCTGAAGCTTAAAATAATTCAGCTTCCCTGAATACAGTTAAATGCAGGGTTTGATTTGCTAAGTATATTTTAACAAGCTGGGAAATATTCTGGCACAGTATATAAAAATGCCATGCAGGCAAACAACTAGAATTCTTTTACAACCTCATCTCTCACACATGCTTTACTTATTTTCCCTTGTCTTGATGCAACACTTCACATATGCTATCCATCTGCACAGTTAGGTACTTTATCAATCTTAAACCCTCAATTTCCTTGCGAGTGGGCTTTAGCAACCCCAGAGGCACAGTATTTCAGTTTACCACAATAGTTATGTCCAGTCTTTCAAGTTTTATGACTACACAAGGCCATCCTAGCAAGTAACCTTTTCAGAGATGCTGAACACGGGCAACTAAGAATCACTGAAAAAAGAAAACACCTTTAGCAGAATACTGTTTCACCAGTGAACGACCAAAGTGGAGCTTGAGGCTAACTCTGAGTTACCCAGCTGAAGTGTAGCAGCAATTCTGTACCCCCGTGGGTGTGTAAATGCCACCATTATAAGCAAAGGGAGATTTTATTGCATCTCTGGAGGGCTATCCTATTCCTATGAGGGCATAACAGAATCACTCTGACAGTTTAGTTAGTTTTAAGCTGCATTTTATAATCATCCATTAGGTGAAATAGAATTCTGCCACATCTGCCTAAAATATGGCTTTAGGTGCTCACATTAACAGAAGACAGAAGTGAAATGAGGAACAAAATAGCTCTCTCGTTGCCAGCTTCAAGTATACTCACTGGCAGTTGCCAAGATGAGTGTATTACTGAGACACCTTTTTAAGCTGTTGCATTTGCCAATAGATTAAGTTTGTTTTCTTTTTTCTGCAGTAACCTGTGCTCCCTTTCCAAAAATGGTATAGGATGTGGCAGTATAACATGCCTGTCCTAACTGGTATACATCAAATTACAAATAATTGAATAATCAGCTACTATTTTATGTTGTCAGATATGAGTGGTAAAAGAAAAAGGATACATGCCTACGAAGCACAGCAGAGCTGTCCAAGTAGTGGCCCATGGGCAACATACAGCCTTCCACATACAGTTAACTCCTGGCCCATGGGCTTCCACCTAGGTGCTGCAAGCAGGATCTCCAGGCTCTCACTCCTTCCTCCAACTTCCACTTCCTGCCCTTGCCCCTGCCCTTGGGGGTGGGATAATGCTGCCCACAGGGGCACTAGTCACACAGCAGTTAAACAGACCTGTTTCATAATGCCTCTACAAAGTACAGAGGCAGAGCAGCTTAGAAGCAGCCTGATGTTTCAGATAAAGCACGCACAGAACGTAGAATGTATTTAAATGACAAGCCTTACTTGTACTTTTGTAGCTTGAGCAGGCTTCCACTGAACAAGAGTGACTCCACCACACAACATTAAGACAGAAAACCACTGCAATTTACTAAGGGAGCGGTTTAGCATTAAGACAGTACATAAGGCTGTGCAAGGGATCTTCAACTGGTAGGTCACCTAAAAGAAGGGAACATAGCAGACACAGAATGTGGTTATAATGAGTAAAATGCTGAACTCTATTCTAGACTGCAGTCTGATATTGGAGAATGAAACCTATAGGAATCCCTTGCTGATCTCTGCAGCCTCCTCCTCCTGGAAGAAATTTCATTTGCAATTACAGCAATGTCGATTTGAAATTAATCCATACCAAAGCAGAATTTGGCTTTTCTTGACCAGACTAAACTGTGCAGCCACAGACCTATGAGTATAATGGGATTGACAAAGACCTTTTAAAGCATTGTGTTATCTGAGTAAATCATTTTTTTATCTTGGCTCGGCAAACCGTAGCTGTACTGTAAGTTATTTAAAAAAAATCAATATTGCATCATTTTTTTGCTTGCTGCACACCACCCGATTTGGGCGTTGAACAAGCCAGCAGTGGTTTCAGGTAAGCAGCATGCCCAAAACTTAAACTTGGCATCTTCTGACTTGACTGCTTTCCTTTGCAGCTCTTGTGTTTTCTTTCTGTACTTCTGTGTATAGAATATTAGTGACATGCATGTTTGTCTAATGGATCAGAGTTATAGTAGTTAATAAAGCATAAAGCACATCTTGATATATCAGTATTATGATTTTCAGGGTTTTTCTGTTTTTGTTACAGTTCTCATGAAAGTTGTATTAATAACTGGAGTTATTTTAACATATTTGTTTGTGGCATATTGTTTGCTTACAAATATAGTTGAATTTTAATTTCTTCCTCCAAGGACTCTAAATAGATGGCCTCTTCAGGCTTTCTAGTAACATACATCACAGTAAAGATTGTAGGTCACAGCATTAACTGCAAGCAATTTTTTTTCTCTTCTATGGGGTTCTGCTACCACACTCATCACAGCAATATTTGAGCATCTTCCAGCTAAATCACTGAGCAGTGAGACTGACCTGATAAAACTGATATGAAGTTTTAAAAAAAAACTTAGTTTTAGCCAAACACCAAAAATAGAGAAAATGGCAATTTCCCCTCCTCTCCCCCGCAAGGAGCTTAAAATTTATACCATCTGGAACACATGGTATGAATTACAATCAGCATCATTTCTGTTGATCACCACAGCTGCTTTTAACTGCATACTGCAAGGGCATGGCAAATCAGCTTAGGTGTGACTATATACAATGTAATAGGAAACCAATGAATATTTTCCTTTACAGAGTGGAAACTTTTTTCAAATTTATTTTGTGGCAAAAATATAATTTCTTACACAAATGTATATCACATTTCATATCAAAGTATGAAACTCCCCATCTGCATTTTTGTACGGACCACAAAGATCCTCACACTCATAGAAATCTCTTTAAAAGCCTTATATCTTCTTCAGTGGGGGCTGGAGGAGGGGAAACTATTTTCAGGGACAACTATACAATTTTTGTCTCTGGGCCTGCCACTGCATCATGTCTTTCACCATCCTCTAAGGTGTGGGGACTGTCTTGATGTATTCTTGTACCATGCCATGCACTGCATCTCTGCTAGAATGAGACAGTTTTTCTATAAGACGCTAAAGGAGCCAAAATGAAATGTAGACAAAAAATAAACAAAAGAACCGAAGACCAGAGTCCCAAACCATGATGCCAGTTACCTGGTAGACTGCTGCATCCAAATTGCTAAGAGCCAAGAAAGCCATGTTGTTTTGGAGAGCATACACCACCGATGGAACACTTAATTTTACCAATTCCATAGGACTGCCCAGTATGTTTTCATTTAAGGATGATATCAGCCTTCCCAAGCTTCCTGTTTCTCTGTAAAGAAAGTTTAAAACAACCGTTTTACTTATTTACCCTGATATGTGAAAATAATGTTAAACAGCATTGGCAAGGCCCTTGGGAAGACTTTAAAGACTTGCTTTTCATAACTGGCTGGTATCCCCTGTTCACTGAAACAGAAATTACGCTGAAAAATAAATAGCCATTGTAGTTCCAAAAAGGTCCAAACCATGAAAAGCAGGAACAAATTGAGATGATAAAGATTAGCTGTATTAACGTATGTTCAGCAGCAGCATGGAGCTGCACAGTCTGTATAATGTTAGTTGCTTGTTTCAGTGCTGGGTAATAAATTGCACTGAGTAAGACAAAAGACTGAATGTCCTTGCTACTAACACTGAACTTTTTAGTCAGAGAATTTATCTGCAGTTTCCAGACCAAATTCAAACTACAGGTTAGATTCTGGGCTGCACCTCAAAGACATTGCCAAATAAAGCAGACCAGTTGTGCCACAATGTATCCCAGCACAGCTGATTTGCTTCACTGGGGAAAACCAAGTCACCTGTTGTCCTACCCACTGATGCTGCAGGACAATGGGCAATATGTTCTCCTGGGGCTTGAAGGGCCTGGTCCTGCATTATCCTAGGGCTGTGTCTCTGTAAACAGGGAAAGCTAAGCAGATGCTCCCAGGACTTGAGCGACCAATTCCTGCACAGGAATTCTCAGGGTGAACAGAATCAGGCCTCTCAGGACCCTGAAGCACCTGCCCAGGGTGGCTGGAGAGCACGGGCAGCTCTGGGCTGGATCACTGACTCTCAATGCAAGCGTGTTTTGGCTCACATTTGAACCTTGGTGCTAAGTTTAACTTGGAACCATGCCATTTTTTCATGGGACAAGCTATGTGAAAGAAATAATCATTTGTTCACATTAATCCAAAATAAAACAATAGCTTGTAACTCAGTTTGGCTTTTCGTGGTTCAACTCACGAAGCTGTAAATCTTTTGGGATTCTGGACAAAGTAATTACTAGTTTAGGGTCCAAGTGATCAGGAGTATTCTAGGCTTATTTTCTTCCAGTAATTGTAAACTAAATAAATACACAGCTTAAACCATTGGCTCTCAAATAGGGGACCATGAGATTCCCTCAGGGGTGCCAGACAGGTGCAGCATCAGACAGTCAGGTAAAACTGTCCTGTGTGCAGGGCTGCAGCACGTATGCTCCTACTGCAGCAAGACAGCTCTCCTGTCCTGCTTTAGGGTTATTAGCGAATAACCCTAAAGCAGGACAGGAGAGCTGGCTCAGGCTGTAGCCCTTCCTAGTCTGGTCTCCCCTCCCTCCCTCCCTCTCCCCAAACACTCCTCCGAGAGACAAGTCATGTAGGTAGGACCTGTGCACCTCCGGTTTCTAGGAGAAGCAAGAGTGGGAATGGGGTGGGACTGAGAAGCTTTAGGGTTAGACTTTTCATGCTTTAGGGTTATCAGAGAGCCCTGATGCAGCAGGAATGCATGCATGCTGTAGCTCTTCCCAGGCTGGCTGTGCAGTAGATATATGGGGCAGTTTCACCTGCCCAGTTGAGTACTACTGAAGCAGTACCAACAGTGGTTCTCAACGTGGGATGCCACCACATTAAAAAAAAATGGGAGGGGTGCCTGGACTTCAAAAAGTTCTAACCACTGGCTTGCAATTACAACTGCTCTTCATTTCAAAAGGGAGAGTCATTTCACATTCATTTGAAGCATGACTTAGTTTTATCCATGCATGTTTAAGGCCCCACAAGTAAAACTAAGTTAAGAATTCAAGCAAACATTCTTAAAAATACAATTTCCGTATTGTGATACCCATGCCTCTTCCACATTATACCAAAAGAGCAGACCCTTTCTGAGTCCAACCTATGATTTGTTAACATCTTAAAATAGCTATCAGCTTCGATGTTTCAAAGTTAAATACAAATGACTGCAAGTGCAGGTGCTCTTTAATTAAAAGGCAGAAACTCATCGACTCTCACCAATTCCCAAATCAGTTTGGTCATTTATCTTACAATAAACACAGTCCCTGGAGAAACTGCAGTCTATGTAGAAGGCAGGGCAGAGATGCAGTATCTTGCCTTCTTTCCAACTTCAGACTAATACAACTAATCTCTCTAGTCAGTGTAGACCAGGGGTTGGCAACATTTTTGGACAGACTGCCAAAAACACTCACAAACTCAACTTGCAAGATGTTGGCATGCCAGGGGTGGATAGCAAGGGAGCCACAAGGGGCCCAATTCCTGTTGTGGCAGTGCAGCCCCTTCCCTACGATCCATTCCGAGGCATCCGTGTCAAGCAAAATGCCTTTGTGTGCCACACTGGCACCTATGCTGGGGGTTGTCTACCCCGGTGTAGATATACATGAGCCCATACTCCCCCCCTTACGCGCGTACACACGCACACACACACACGCACACACACACGCACGCACGCACGCACGCACGCACGCACGCACGCACGCACGCACGCACGCACGCACAGATTCTTTTGATTACAACGTTTATCATAGCCACCACTTCTTCATGCTCCCCTCTGAGGGCATAAAAGGTAAGACAGCCACACTAGTGTGGCTACATGTCTGGCAACTGCTTGTTTTGGCATTCAGATGATTGAGGTTTAACCAGGCAAGGCACTGAAGAGAGAGATTATTTTTTTCATCCTTGATTGTGGACACCAAAGCCTAAGAAGAAAAAACAGTAGTTCAAAAAGGGCCAAGGTAAAATCCCATATGTACACGGGCAGTTGGTGGGCCCAGTCCCAGGGAGTTAAAGGTTGGGATCTGTAGAAGTCCGCAGGTCTCCGCCATTCACAATAGTTTCCCTGGTCAGTGCAAGGTCCAGGCAGGTCCTGGCAACAGTACCATCACAGGGAAATCAGACAGCACAAGCTGTTGGTACCATGGGGAGAACCAGTACCAGAGGACATCTCAATGCAAAAGATAGTACCAGTGTGGTTTATACCCATTCCACTGATGCTGACATTGATCTTAGTGGACTCTCCTTATGCCTGAAGAAGGGTGTTTGTGCCCAAAAGAACAATTTTTCCAACTATTTAGTTGGTGTAATAAAAAATATCACATCTACGCAAAGAACCTTGTCTGCCTGATATTAGTGGAAGCACTTTAGGTACCTGCCCCACTTCAGCACAGCAGTCTACTGATTTCTGCTGATTCAAGGCAATGTGAGGTTTGAAAGTTTTGTCCTCTGACAGTTTCCATCCCAGTCCTTGGAGGGCACCGTGCCCCAAAGCTTTGGGGAAGAGACAAGCAAAGGCAGGGACGCACTGACAGTCAGGTATCAGTATGTCTTATCTCACTGCCGAAAGCAGTAAGAAAAAGAAAAAAACACTACAGAGGGCAGTTCGCACCCTGACTGAATCTTCTGACTAGCAGTTTCTGTCCCATGTACAATGTATATATACATCTGTAGTGTGGGATCCACCCTGGCATACATGAAGAACCAAAACATAAGCAAATAACCCAGAGTTTTATGCCCAAGTAACTAATTATTTTAATAGTACTGAGCATGCATTTCAGTCAAATTTCTTCTGCGTGCTAAAAATGGTTGTTTTGGAGATGGCAAAAGAAAGGAAAGGAAGAAACTGTAAGGGCAGACTCTTTCCCCATATTCAGGCATTCATACGTGGACTCAGCTTATTACTACCTAGCATCTTGCAGTTTCTAGAACACTTCAGGGGAAATGTGTTTGTGGATTCTTTTGAGAAACTGATTACTGGACTTACAGGAGTTTTACACGCACATACAGTTATGGAAAAGGTGTGCCCTCATTTAGCCTAATAACTCAGAAAGCCTGGTATTTTATAGCCAGTATAAACATAATCCAAAGCACAGTAATAAAATATGCAAAGGGACACACCTGCATATTGTGCAGTTTACTGAAGAGATTCACGAAGGAACCATTCACAAGTAGTGACATGCTTTAATCTTCATTCCTTGGTGCCACTACTGTCCGGTTTAACAAGGCCCAGAAAGACAACTGGCTGTATTGCACATTCACTTACACAGATGCATGAGCATGAAGGAGACTGAGTCAGAGGAAGTGAGAATTCATCTCCAGAACACTGATTAGTACTCATACTTACTTAGCCAAAATGCCCACACTTAGGAATAACTTGATAACTTCTGTGATGCACACAGCTGTGGTTGAAAAGTAGAGTTCTTTTTCCACTGTTCTTGTGTATCGTAAGGCTACGGTGTATGTTGCAGCAACTAGAGTCATCACCGTCAGGCAGTACAACTTGAACAGTATAGTGACATTCTCTGAAAAAACAAAAAAAGCTCAGTAAGGTATGGGAGATAGACAACAGCTGCTTGCTACAGCAATCGTAACTTGGTGTGCTCCGTTCTAAACTAAGAACTGAAACTGAGAGTTTGAAAAGCTAAATAAGTCACATATACAATGTAGTACCACTGCAGCAGTGTACATTAATTTTACAAGTCACATTGTTGTATTTAATAATTCTAAATGGAACCCTCAAAATACTTTGAGAATACAGAAAAGACTATAGGAAAGTACCAGATACATCTGACTTGAGGTAGGTTTCTTTACCAAAAATAAGTTCTATATATAGATCTCCAGTGCATGATGAGTTCCAAGTCATACACTGGATACATACAATACACTCTACTGTGTCTTTAAAGCACACACCAAATACTGAGCCCAAAAAGTGTAACTAATCCTCTGCATGCAGTATGTTAAAATCTCAAATGGACAGAATTTACTGAACTCTCAGATTAACAAAAGGCTTTTGGGGCAAAAATAGTAGGTTTGATATGCAGTAGAAACTGGGAGGCAAGAGATTGTGGGGTGGAGGGGAGAATAATCATTTCAGGAAAGTAGTAAGAGGTGTGATGATTTTAAATGTTAAAAACTTATTTTAACTGTGGGAAGGTAATTCCTTCCATTTCAAGAGAACAGATTCTGAAGGTAAATGCCCCTGGGCCTCCTTTAAGTAGGATATTTATTTACAGGGGCAGAGGGGCGTGCCACAGTGTAACAATGCAAGTTAGAACTTCTAAAGTGGTCTGAACTATTAGGAAAAAAGTGTGTTCTGTGAAAAAATGTGTGTGTCTTTTTTTAGATACATAAATTCCTTTTATTTTATGCATGCAGTGTAATTTTGTTGGTGAGGGTCACCTTATAACATACTCCAAGTTTCAGCCTTCCAAAACTTTTAAGATCAATTTCACTGACGAATTAAGTTTCATCAGGTATGTGTCCCACCAGTGCAGTGATTCTTAACCAGCGAGCAGTGGCACCCTGTGGTGCTATGAAAACCTTTTAAGGGGGCCACAGGGTGAAACACCAATATGTGATTCACAAGGTAGACCCAAGTTTTTCAAATATTACTCCATACTGTCAAAAACATTCTGATTTGCTGTGGTCTTTCCAAGTTCCTTGCAACAGGAAAGTTGCTCTATTATTTTTCCATGCTCAAAAAATGAGTGAAAGTTAAGAGCTGGCATCTTCTGAGTGCCTCAGTTCTAATAAGGGTGAGAACCACTGCACTAGTACAACAGCTCAGTCAGCCCACTATCCAACCCCTGATCAGATCCACACAGGGTACCGAGTGTGCTTGTGGCGGGGGCCAGTCCACGGGCCAGATCAGGTCCACAGAGCCCGTCCCCTTCCCTGAGCATACCTGATCCAGCGGCAGCTGCTGCAGCCAGTTTGGACCCGCACTGTGAAGTGCAGATCTCAGAGCAGCTAGAACAGGTGCTGCATGCACCACAGTCCAGGCAGAGCGGTAGCAATGCTGCACACACTGGCCACCCCAGCAGACCTGGGACTGCTGCATGCAGCACCTGCTCAGCTGGTCCAGGACCCAGGCTGCACACAATGCCTGCAAATGTTAAGTGCAGCACAGATCCTAGGCTGGCTACAGTCTTGTCTATAGCCATAGGGTAAGCTAATAATACATTCCCTACAGAAGGACTGCTGTGATACCTATCTCTGCAGAACATCTCTGCAAAGTATGCTTAAGCACCTGCTGCTACAAGCATGTGAATTAGCTATATCCTTCTAGATTATATCCTATCTACATCAATAACCATTTTCAAAAGGGGAGAGTCAAGTAGTTCTTGGAAGAGCATTTAGACTTTGCCCAAACCAGATTCACAAGCCACAAATGGAGTTTTCATTACAATTTTTGCTTTTTGCAGACATGCAACAAGCACTGGAGCCAGAAAGTAAAACTGACCAGCCTAATCAGCTAAACTGAATTAATTTGAGAACAAAGAGAAGGAACTTAAAATCTGAAGTTTAAAATTCATCATTTATACTGTTCTAAGCGTTTGTTTTCTACAAAGGAGCCCTGAGACTTAGCATCCTGCTTACTATTTAAAAGTACTTTCCTACAGGTCATGGTCTGAGCAACATGGGATATTTGTCCAGTTTCTCGGATGATTATTTTGCACCATATAATGCCCCAATTCAGCAAAGCCTTGAGTACTCTAAGACTAAGAACAGAAGACTGGTTTAATCTGGGGCTGACTGTCCGAGTTTTGACTTGCATCAAAACAGGCAGGGGAGATAGTCTTTTACATGGCTTGAATGACAACTAACTTGAATTAGCCTCCACTGTTAAGAATGCAAGAACTACCATTCACTAGGTCAGACCACAGAACTACCAATCACTAGGTCTGTCTTGCCAGTCTCCTGGGTCACACAGTGGGCACTGCCCGGTGTGCTCTGCTTGGCGTCCCCCCCTCAGTGCACTCATTTTGAACCTTTGACCATCACTCCTGTCCCTGTCTGGTCTTCTATTTGTCCCACAGATTCAGCCAACACATACCCAATAGCCCCTCTATTAACAAGGGGAGGGACCTAACCATTGCTGTGGGGGCATAAGGGGGTCCTACACAGATGCAGAAAGGCTGCTCCAACATGCTGTAGTTATAGTGCGTCAGAGCAGACTTGATCAGTCTGCAGGAGCACGGTAATTACCGTGCTCCAGTGTCTCATGTATCAGAGTCCCTGCTCACTTGACAGACTTTAGTTAAAGCACCCCCGCCACCATTTTTCAGTGCAGTGACACTGATACACGAGACGCTCCAGGCACTTTAATCAGAGTGGCTCTCAGAGTTTCTCTAATTAAAGTGCCCCCCACTCCTGGAGCACATGTATAAATGCCCAAGAGTTGCATGCGTCAAACAGGCCCACGTGGCACAGTGGGCACTGCCCAGCATGTGCTGCTCGGCATCCCCCCCGAAGTGCGCTCACTCCATCACTCCTGTCCCTGCTTCACCTTTCTTTTGTCCCGAGAAATTAGGTGTTACTTTCTCAGTGGCTGAAGCTGACAGATCATGGGCCGTTGCCCACCAAGAACCCCTAAAAGTAATGAACAGGCCTGCGTCACACGAGCCAAGCAGATGCCAAAAGGGAGACTGAACTGGATGCAACCCGCTGAGGCAAAGTGTTTGTCACCTTCACAGTGGAGGGCAATGGAAATGGATCGGGGGCTGGGGCACTTGGCTTGGAAGGAGGGAACAGGGTGTATTTAGTCTGGAGAAAAGGCGACTGAGAGGGGACTTAAAAGCAGCCTTCAACTACCCGAATGGGCGTGAGTTACAAATTGGACCGGGTGGCTGTTCTCACTGCTGCCAGACCAAGAAGCAACGGTCTCGACGGGCAGCAAGGGAGGTTTAGGGTTGGCACCAGGAAGGTCTCTCCCGCACAGAGTGGCGAGGCACGGGAACGGTGACCCAGACAGGCAAGGGACTCTCCATCCTGGGAGGTTTTGCAGCTGGACAGCCCCGGTGGGACGCTGTAGTCGGGGCTGGAGCAGGGGCTGGGCCAGGTGCACAACGCCCCTGCCCCGGGGTCCCTGCCGCCCTCATCGTGCATGACTCTAGGGGGGGGCGGACACGGGCCTCTCCCCGTCCCACCACAGGTCAAGCCCATTCACGGCCCCAGGGTGAGGGCCGCCCCCCCGGCGGAGATGACCGCTCCCGGCTGGTGCCCGCCCCGCGCCACGGGCCGTTCCATTCTCTCATCGGTGGGGGGAAGCAGGGAGGCGGGTGGTCTCACTCCCCCCCCCGGCCAAGATCACGGGCAGCCACGCCCCCTGCCCCCGTGCGGCGCCTGCCCCTCACCTTTCGGCGGCGCCATGGTGCCCGGGGAAGCTGCCGAGACCGCGGGTCCGGAGCTGCGCGCTGTGCCC